GAGTAATGTTGGATTAGATGCTTGACAGTTTTACCCTGCTGGGTGCTGGATATTTTTATATTCCTATAAATCTTCTTGTGCTTTGTTCAAGGATACAGTAGTGTTACTTGCCCATTATTTGACCTTTTCCTGTCTTGCTTTTATGAATTTTTAGGAGGCATCTGGTATATTGCTCAGTCTAGGTCTAATTTTTTCTACTAAGGCAAGATATTCTTGAGTACCCTACTTAATGCTCTGTAAATTGTGAATTTTTCTGGACTGACTTGGTGGGAAGAGGCATTATAACCTTTAGGCTCTGTGTGAGCACCAGGCAAGGTCTCCTCCAATCCTTTCATGTGGTTCTTCTCCCAGTCTCAGGTAGTTTCTTCACATATGTGTGCTGCTTAGTACTCATTATTGATACTCAAGGGAAATCCTTTGCAGATATCTAGGTTTCTCTTTCTGTGCAGGTTTCTTCCTTCTGGGACACTGGCGTATGCACCATAGCTGCTTTGGTCTTTATGGACTGTGTCTTATTTCCTCCCTTTGCTTCTGCTTGAAAATTTTCTTGAGGCAGTAATGTTGGAGCCATCACAGGACTCACCCTCTTTGTCTTCTGCATCTCAGGGATCACTGTCCTTTGTTGCCTGATGCTGTCTTGAAAAACATTTCATATATATTGGTTGTATCAGGTTGCAAAGGAAATTCAAGGTAAATTCATGAGCTAACCAGAACTTCAATCTTAAACATGGATAATAATGGTTGACTAACACCATGGAATATCATACAACAATGCATATAAATGATAGCTATATACAACAACATCATTGAATCTTACAAAGTATTGAGATAAAAAAGCCACAAGAGAATCAAAAGTGCTGTTTATTAAATATACCAATGGGAAAAACAAAACAACAGTGACTGAGATAAAGTGTTAGATATAATAACTGTATAAAAAACAAAGTGATTGCCCAGAGAATCAAGATACTGGTTATTTTTGGGGTGGGGGATTAAGAAAGGGTACATGAAAGGCTTTTAGAATACTGACATTCTGAACAGAGATTATACAGATATATTCTCTGTAATGGGCATAACATTTGTGTTTTCTGTATATATGTTAAATTTCACAGTAAAAAAAAATTTAAAATTCAAAAGGGAATCCCAGAGGAGTCTGAGGCAGTCCTATAAACAAACGTTTTTAATCTTTTATTTTATTCAAAGAACTCTGAAAAGATAATATATTCTTAATAAAAGATGAATAGGATACCTGAAGAAAGAATCACTTAGAGAACAGAAAAGAGCTCAGAGATGAAAATATGATTGCTTACCCTTAAACTTCAATGAAAGGACTAAAAGATAAAAATGATTTTTTAAAAATTCCCAGATTATAGAAGAAGACTAAGAGATTAAAATTTGAGAGAAAATATTAGAGAATCAAATCAAAAGGTCCAGTTTTCAACTAATGAGTTTCAGAAGAGAAACTGATCAAGTAGAGAAAATAATCAGAGAAATAATAGAAGAGAATTTTCCAAGAACTGAAAAGTAGCGCAAAGAATGTAGACAAAAATGAACCAGTGTCAAAATGAAGATTTTAAAGCTCAGAAAGGTGAGTTGAGTGTGAGAAAGGGAACTGAGAGAAAGGGAACTGAGAACACATTAAGTCTATAAAATCACATCAGATTTCTCACTAGCAATATTTGATGTAAGATGTTGGAGCAGTACTTTCAGGAAACTCAAATTCCAATCTTGAATATGATACCTATGTAAAATAAAATTACGAGGGGGGAGCATAATAAAGACATTTTCAGACAGCAGTTACATTCTACATACTCTTTCTTGGGTAATTATATAAGAATATGGCTCAATAAACCAGGTTTAAACTAAGACAGGATTGAGGAAATAATGGGTCTAACTCAGGAAAGCAAGAAGAGAAGTGTCTCAAGATGATACTTAGAGAATAACTAGATGGGGAGGACGGTCTCTAGGAGAATAAGCGGGGAGGGATGACTCAACGTAAGTATAAGTAACATGATTGAGAGGCTAGGAAACAATAAAAATGATAAAAAGATGGGAGGGAGTAGAAAGGCAACTAGAAAATCTGGGGAAAAACTAAAAGCTGTACAAGAAAGTCATGGTTAAAATATGAGGACAACTAAAGTACAGCATGATTTTAAAGAACTGATAAAGTCTAAGAAAAAATTGGGCAGCTGCTAAGATAGTAATAGTATCATTTGCTGAGTTTAAGTCAAGACATTTTGACATAACCACAAAATTTAGGTAGTGGAATTGATGGGATATTTTGTCATAGTTGTTTTAATAGAATTGTTTTTAAATAGTTACTCTCCAAATATAGAGTCACTGCCTTCTTTATTACCAAATTATGTGTCCAAAAGGCATCCCTAATCTTTATTCTGTCTCATATACCCACTAAGTATGAGAGACTTTCCCTTTCTATGCTCTTCCATATTGTTTTAATATTTTACAAGCATGAGTTATCTTTTACAATTTTTTATAACTACAAAATACTTAAATTTGTTAAAATTAATTTAGCATCTAAGGGTATAGATGCTGTAGGTAATTTATCCTCTAAACTTGTCATCATATATTACCATCATTATAAAATTCTTTAAGTATAACGAGTATTAAAAGCTGTTAAAAATTAATTTTCTTGTGTAGTTTGAAGCTTAGAATAAGGAGTCATATTCTAACTGTCTTCTGTTCCTCTAAGTGTCTTCTCTAGTACCTGATCATTTAATGGTGGAGACTTAGTATGCTTATATAAAGGAGAGGTGTCCTTCTGGATACTTAGAAAACAACATTGTTAAGCTAACAAATCAGATGAAAGTAAGTTGCCATTTTATATGAATGGCTGTTTTGTATGAACTTGGCAAGACAAATCAGTAGTAATAAATGGTCTGAAAAATGGTTATCTTTGGAGGTTGGGTATTGATTGTGAGGATCACATGAGGAAGACTTCTGGGATACTCTAAATGTTCTCTCTGTTTATTTTGGTGGTGTTTTTGTGGGTGTATAAATATGTAAAAATTCATCAAAATGTACATTTACAACTAAAGGAAAACAGAAATAATAGCATTTGAGATGCAGGCTCTTTAAGATAAAATGAAGTATTAGTGTGTCAGCAGATATATTGCTTAAAGTGAATGATGCCACTTTTCCCCCATTTATTACTTTCTGCAACAAAAGATGACAATTATGTAAGGTACATGTATTCCCATAATACATAAGTAGAGATTGAGGGGCTCCTTCCTTAGAGATAATCACTGTTGACAGTTCTTTTCAAACCTTTTCTGTGTGTAGGTATGATAACATTCTTTAAACATACATTTTTAGTAGTATCAAACTATATTATTCAGAAACTTGCCCCCACCCCCCACCCCAACAGCATATAATAGATATCCTCCAATATCAGATTACGGATTTACCTTATTTCCTTTAATGATCTGCATGGTATGTTTGTACTATACTTTATGTAGACACTTCCTAGATATTTGAACTTCTTATATATATATATGTTGTTAATGGAAAAATGCTTTGATTAACTTTTTTCTTTTATATCTATATTTGTATATTTGATAAGTTTTGTTATAGGATAATGCCAGAAATAGAAAACTGAGGTTAAATTTAAATAGTTACCACAAAATCTCCCTCCAGTTCTAACAACTATGAACTATAACCTTACCAACATTGATGTTATCAGTCTTTTAAAGTATTTGCTGATTAAATGACAAAAAAAAGGAATCTCATTTTTTTAGTTAGGTTTTTTTTCTCTGACCACTAATGGGGTTGACCTTCCTTATATTAATTATCTACTTGTGAATGGTTTGTTTTTTTGGCTAATTTCTTGTGTCAGTTTTCCTTATTTAGTTGTCAGAGTTCTTTGTGTAGGGCATTAATTCTTATTTCTTTCAGTATTTTGTGGATATCGTTTCCCATTCTATTTCTTGTCTTACAGATTCCTTATATTTATGGTAAATCTTTTCCTTTATTGCTCCTTCATTTTGTGTTTTGTTTAAGAAGATCATCTGCTTAGAAAGAGCAGATGTTTTCTTTTATTTTCTTCTGGTATACTTACTGTTTTGTTTCACTTTGAAATCATTAATCTACTGCGAATTTATTTTTATGAGCTAAACATCCAAATATTAATATGCATTTCCCCCCAATAGATGGCCAGTTCCCATAAACCACCAAATAGTCCATCCTTTTCTCACTAACTTGAAAAGCAATGATAGTACTCAATGAGTGACTGAAAGGTTATACAAAATGAGGTATTTTTCTTTTAATTCAAGGATGATATGGGTTTTGAAATAGTTAAAGGATGTAGGGCAGCATTTATAGAAAGTCAGGGATAAAATATGGTTGCCTTAGGAGTTATAATGTGAAAATGGATAGGATTAAAAGTATAGACAGGATAAAATAAGAATATACCTAGGACAAACAAATATTTACTAATATCTGTATAAATAATAATTAAAGGCATCCAACAGCTTGTTATATTATGTAAGTTGTTATTACAAAGGAATTCTTGGTCTTCTTCCCAAGATTTATTTTAATTTGCTGCCTATGGCACAGGGATCATTTTTAACCATCCTATAGAAAAATGAACTCCTTTTGGTTAATATCAGATTTAAGTTTATCACATCTTTAATCTTATAGCTTATTATATAGTAAAGCCATTAATACGTGAAAGATAATTGTTTTCAGTTCTGGAAAAGTTTGGGTGTGTGACAGTATACACCCTGTATGACTGAATAAAAAGACTGCTGAATATGTGAAATACCATATCCAGCAGAAAAAGATTTTCTAGAAAATTGGAGCAATTACAGTATATTCCTACTGGATTGGGTTTGAAATATGTTAGAAATAGAGCTTTTTAAACTGTTTTTTATTTATAATATAATTTTTAAATTATTGACCTATGATATTGTCACTATAATTGAAAGACATTACTTGTCTTCTGTCTTCTCTTTCCTCCACCTCCAACCTTCTCTCTTTTCTTACAGATCATACATCAGTTGGTGGTCTGGGAGACAGTTTTTATGAATACTTACTAAAAGCATGGTTGATGTCAGATAAAACAGACCATGAGGCAAGAAAAATGTATGATGATGCTATTGAGGTAATTATTGCCACAACATCTGCTTAACATACTGAATATACAATCTACTTGATAGTGATATGTGAACATCTTATAAGCATTTTATTATATGCATTCACTATAGAGTTTGTTAATGTTTTAATATAAATGTCTGATATTGTTTTTCTTTACTTTGGCATTTTAAAGAAATTTTTGAAGAAAGAATACAGTGTAGCATAATTATGTATGAAAACTTATTTTAATTCCTTTTAGTTATTATCTACAGAGACTGGAAAAACTGACTTCCTATAAACATTTCTTCTTTCAAATGACCTATTGAACCTACACATTAAAGAGCCTTATAGGTAATAATAAGAACAAAACAGTTAACAAAGTACTTTCCACATGCCAGGCACTGTTCAACTCCTTTAACATATGTGAAATCACTTAGTCTTTACTACCATTTTACATATGAGGCCCTTAAAGCACAGAAAGGTTAAGTAACTTGCTAAAGTCACAAAGCTAGTAAGTGATAAATTATGGAACTGAACAGTCTGGCTTCAAAGCCCATGTTATTAACCACTGCACTATTTTATTTTATATTTATATAACCTCATACCACAATGTTGTGACAGTTTAAAATTGGAAAAAGTTTCATTCTTGGAAATACTTAATATGCAGTATTTCTGAGCAAAATCTGTGAATAGAAATTAGCCACTTAATAAATTATTTGCTTTCTGATCCAGTATATGCTTATATCACCTTTAGGATTTTAGTAATGTTTTAGAAGTCCTGTATTTTGTAATTATATAATAACACCATTCTAACCATAGTCAGTGATCAGATTTCAGAGTTACAGTTGTTGTTTTGTCTTAAAATTAAACCAAGAATCTTATTACCCATTTATGTGCATCCTTTTTAGGGAACCAGTTCCTTACACTTGTTTACAAAAATGCACAGGTGTTGAACTAATATGTGGCATATAGTGCTTTTTCCATTGTAGGCCTTTGATAATTGTTTCTTGAGGGATTGTATTAACTAAGAAATTGAATTAAATATATAATCAAGAACCTCCAGTTTGTGACTTCTAAAATTATTTTGAGAAGTTGGAGAGTTTTATTTTGTTATTAAACTAGAAATTTTTATGATCTAAGAAAAGTCATTATCTAGGAAGAACATAATATTCTTAAAAATCATAGTGCTGAAAGTAGCCCTTAGTCATTTCCACTAGATTGTGGGTTCTTTGAAGGCAGCCTAGTTTATTTATTTATCATTGTCTCAGCACCTGACATATATCTGAAACAGTAGGTATACAATAAGTATTTGATAAATGAATGAATGTATTTTATGAAAAAATGTCATATATCATGTAACCATTTTTTCTTTTACTTTAATTTTGAGACATAATGCAGTTTTTGCAATGCTAATTATCTTCAATGACTATTAATTTTGTTAGGAGACAGTATATACAAATTGTAAAATACATGACAAATGGAAAGAAGAGATAGGAATAATTCCTTTCCAGATCCATTCTAATAGGAGGTAAAGCCAATGTATTTAAATGATTCCATCCTCATCTCACCCTCCTCTACACTTAATGGTCCTTGGTGGCTACATCTTAGCTTTCTTTTTAAAAATTATTTAAAGTTTTGGTTTTATATTCTGATCAAGTTTATATTTAGCCATTAATTTTTAAAATAGTGAAGAAAAAATACATCTTTATAAAGGTCCTTTGGAGCAAGAAAGTCATACCAATATTTGTGAAGATTTATTTTAACAATTTTTAATAGAAGAGTAACAATATTACTCTTAACTGCCATTCATCGAGTTGGATTTTATATAAATTAAACTCTTAGACACTTGTCATATTTTAAGAGAGAGAAGATAGCCATCCATACAAGAAATTTCAGGAATCTGTAAGTGAATACTGGTAAAAAGTTCTGTCTTTACTTTTAGTAGGTCTGTGGGTATATGTTTGTACATATTTTCAGTATAGCACAGTAAAATTTATGTTATAATGAACAAAATGATAAAACTTTATATAAAGGTTAAAAAGCAAAACTATGGCTGTCATTCTTTAGGTGTCATTGAGTGCCTTACATGTGGAAAACATGCTATATGTTGTGAGGTCCATAAAGATGAAAAACTTTGTCCCTGTGCTCAGAAAAACAAATCTTGTCATTTGTGCTTTAGAGCTAAAAAAAAAAAAGGAACAATAAAAACTTACAATCCAATGGTAGTCCCTTTGCTTACCAGCTACTACTCATTCTCCTAACAGGCCAACTATAATTATGTTATTTATTTATAAAGTGACTTATTAATTAAACATCTATGGAGTGCATACTACGCTTATAGCCTTGTGGATCATAAGATGAATAAGACATAGTCCTTATAGTTCTGTGAAACATTGTTATAAAGAATATAGAATCAATTTTTTTCAAAGCTACTTATAATTGAGCTTGTCACAGAACAGCCCACAATAAAAATGTCTTATTCCATTTTATTGACAGAAAAGTATAATTTCTAATTATATATGATAATTTCTACCAAAGAGAACTGAACTAATGCAGTTTCTTATACTTTTCCATAGAAGTACATTTCTCTAAAGGTAGAAAATAAATCCTTAGCCCACTCAGCAAAGTCTGAGAACATAGTCCAAAGGAACAAAGTTCTTAAAATTCCTACTTTTAAAATTAAATGTGGTGGTTGGACTGTTACATTCAAGTTGAACGTAAAATATTTTTGCCATCCCACATCTTTTGAGAAATACTGATATCCCAGGAGTCTGGACTATGTTTATCATATGGCCTCTCCTAACCATAGCACAGCATCCAAAACAAATACCTAAGCTTATGAAGTAAGGGACTAAGCAATTAAGTTTGAACTTTGAACAGTTTTGTAAGCTTTATAACATATAAGGTGCCTCACCTAATGGTGCCTTTTTAAAGTACTTTGACAAGAGATACAGTTACTTGGAAAGGAGAAACAATTTTAACTGATTATCAAAAATCATGTTTTTCTGATTCACTTAGTTATTCCTATTCAGTTTTTATGGTATGAAATAGAAATTGGTAGAACCTTTTGGGTTATAACTTGTCATTGTGATCTCAGTTGACTGATTATTATTAATTTCATTTAGCTCAGGAAGGAAAAAAAACCCTGCTATATGAATAGTGTTATAACAAAAGGTAATCTTTAGGCCAATCTCCCCTTTCCCACTTTGTCTTTTTATAGTAGCATATGGGGTATTTGTTCAAGATTAAATGCAATTTGATTATTCTCTCCAAAATTTACTTACTGTAAATTAAGCCATCCAGTTTGGGAAAGTTACTGCTTTGTAAAATACCATATTACCAAGGTTTATGATAGCACAGAAGGACATAGGAAGTTGAACACTAATAGTTTGCTTCTAAATTTTGGAATATCTACTCTTTGTTACAGGCTATAGAAAAACATCTCATTAAGAAGTCCCGAGGAGGTCTGACTTTTATTGGAGAATGGAAGAATGGGCACTTGGAAAAGAAGATGGGGCATTTGGCCTGCTTTGCTGGGGGAATGTTTGCTCTAGGAGCAGATGGTTCCAGAATGGATAAAGCTGGCCATTATTTAGAGCTAGGGGCAGAAATTGCACGAACATGTCATGAGTCATATGACAGAACTGGTAAGAATATTAATGACACTAATTACTTAGTCTAAAATAACCTGTAAGTTCAAAATAGTTTAAAACAATAAGTCATTTTATTAAGAACTTGAATTTTAATTGTAAAAATATATTTCGGTGTCATTTTTTTAAAAATTCTGAATGCTGTTAAATAAAGATTTTGAAGAAGTTGTTTTAATGACTAGGTAGGGCATTTAGGGATGTATGGGATGATACTATTTAATTTGTTAAGACTCCATTTGAGCCATTCATTTGAACTTCTGTAAAACTAGTTACTTAAAGAACACAAAATTGACTAGTTTAGGTTACATGCCTTGCTTATAAGAATAACCAAAAGATAATGGTAGTTATATTGAATGTATAATTGGTATCAAGGTAACTACTAGTTTGTCTCTTAATCAGTTCACCAGTGATTTTTGAATTGCTTGTGCCTTTAACTAAAAAGATGTTTAGCGCCTAATGTTGCTTTAGGCAAATATGTAACATTTCTGGGCTTCAGTAGTCCTCACCTGGAAAATGAGATGATTCTCAATAGTGATAAAAATTGATTTCTTGGGGATTAAGAAAATCATTTTTATGTATAAAGCATAGGTATACATATGGTTGTAGATAAACAGTATATATTTGTTACTAAAATTTAATGGAGAGAGAAGGCAATTAGATTTTTTTAAAAGCCTGAAGATAGAATTGAGATACACTGAACAAGACTTTCCAAGGTTTTCTCTGACTTAAAAAATGTATATTTCTATGTAAAATAATGGATAGTGAGTCCCAGTAAAACTAAAAACTAGTAATTTCTCTTTGTCATTTCAGAAGTTGAATTGTTGCTTTTATTAAATAACTGATTTTCCATTTCAGGGTTAATTTATCAGTTAACATGACACACTATGATTGGCTTAAAATTTATTCTACTTCATGAATCTGTCAAGTTATTTCTTTATAATAAGGAATTGAACTTATGGTGAAATTGGCTCTTCAGTTCCCTAGGTAATGAAATTGTAACTGAATCAAGGATCCCAATTTTTGACAAAATATAACTAAGCCAAAAAGACATTGAAGTAGATGTTATTTTAGGGTGGTTTTAAGTATTAGTATATAATACATATGAAGCTGATGATCTGTATTACAAATAGAATCTTATTTATCATGTTGAAGATATAGTGCATCAAATACCTACTTAAAATACAGCTAAAATGACTGTAACATTGAGATCAGAATGGATATTTAGTGTTTATACTAGGACCCATCATAATGATACTTATTTGCAGCTCCACACATAAATCAAATAATAAATCTAAAGTAGTAGGCTTTCATACAGCAGAAATGTTAAAAATGTTTTGTCATGGTTATTATAATTAATCATTTGCTCCATTAAATATGGAGCAACTGTTAGGTGCCTAGCATTATGCTGGATACTTACAGTTGAAAGTATGAATAAGATGTATCCCTTGCCTTTAAGAAACTTGTAGAATACCAGAGTTTTAAAAGATTCCTTGTATTATATTTTTGAGTTTCACATTTTATAATGACATTACTGATGCTAATTTGAACCACAGTGATATTATAGAAAGAAGATATAAAGTAGGATTCAAAAATCCCATGTTCTACTATTACCTGTGAACCTTAGGCAAATCATTTAATCTTTCTAAGTCTCAGCTGCTCCATCTGCAAGAAAGTGGGATAATAATACATATCCTCTCTTCCTCAGAATGTTGTTGTGAATATAAATGAAATTTTAAAAAATGCAGTCCATGGTTGTGTCATCTTTGTTCTGATTATCATTCTATCATTGCAAGTTGAAGAACCTGTGGCCCTCTTTGCCATGGTATGCCCCAAAAGATTACTATTTGATTTGTGCCCTGTAGTTTGAAGTTTTTAACTGTTTTCACTTTTCTTAGTCTCTATTTATATTCTTTAATTAAAAGTACAATCCTAGTTTTGCTTACTTCTCACCAGGTTTTATTACATCTTCTGCTGTGTTTTCTTATAGTTTTGCTGTAAGTTTTGGTCACGTGTTCAAAAATATCCATCTACTTCTTAGCAGTTACTCCAGCTAAGCCATATAATTATTGCTGTGGAACTTAATTTTTATTTGTTGTTGGAATTAGGATTAACATTAATTCAAAATGTACTAATCTTCATATATTCCACCTTATTGATGAACATGGCCTGCTGCTTAATATTTAGCTGGGTTTGTAGGATACGTTGCTGAATCTGCTCATGAAACTGAGCAATGTCTTAGTAATAGTTTCAAGCATTATTATATCTATGTAGAAAGCTAGATTGACACATTGTTGTAGTTTATTCTGAGGTATAAATGCAGAATTAATAGCTAGTTTCTACAGCTATTTTTTCTTTAAGTTAATAGAAGGGGAAATAGAGTCCTTTCCTTCTTATTATTCCATTCAAACTACAAATTACCTTATCCCAGAATATTCCTTATGTTTTTTTTATCATTTGTTAATTCCTTTCGTTGACATGAGTGTGCTTATTTTTCCATTTCTGCAGAGTTGCATCTCTTGGAGGACATGCATGAATTGCATTTCCCCATGACTACAAATTATCTTGTGCTTTTTTAGAACTTACCTTTTATTGTTTTAATACTGACCTTTATCACATTTGATACTTCCATTTTTTTGTGTGTGTGTCACTTATCTTTACCTACATTATATGATTTTTGTATCCTCGAGTTCTTTTTATCAGGGCACTAAATTATTTGTGGTTTCAACTCAGCTTTTACTTTTTGTATTAGTTGTTTACCTTTTAGAGATGAAATAGCAAATATGAATGGGAAATTTAAGTTAAGGAACAGAAATTAACTTCAAGGTAAATTGTTATGAAATTATTTTTTACATTTCTTAAACAAAAGATCTCCTAAGAAATAATGCCCTCAGAAACATGAAACCAATGATTTGACCAAAATAATGAATGTGATGTATATGTAATTTAGGCTTATCCATTTTTACTCACTAACTCCTCACAGAACTGGTATGTTTTGTTAGTGAAGTTATGAATGACCAATAAATGAAATATACTTTTTAGTGGGAAGTTTAAGATATTCATTCCATGCAGCCAATTTCTACTTCAATTAAGGCAATGCCATTATAATTGCAGAAGTTATTGTCTAAAATTAGCCATAAAACTAATATTTGAATCGCTATATGATCACTTCTTGCCACTCATAGTCTTTGAGAAAAGAAAAACAAAAAATCTAGACATAATGACATAGTTTACTTTTTTGTTGGAGTACCATCATCTCAGAACTTACAGTGTTGACTTTATCATCACTTTGAAAGCATTTATTAAATGACAAATTATATTTGATCATATGTCAGACTTTTAATAAGCTGAGTAGAAGATTTCTTACAAAATGCTGGTAATTTGCAGCTATTTCTAACTTCATATCCTGTTGAGCTGGTACAAGCTTTATGTGCACAAATAAAGTTTTTCATATAATTTCAGAGGCTTCTTGGACACAACACTGTCTTCCTCTTCCAAAGCTTACCATAGAGTTGCTCACCCTCAGGTCAGAACTCCTGCTTGAGTTCTGTATTAGTTCTCCAAGAATTAGCAGTAAACAGACTGTGGTTATTACTCTTCTGGATCACATGTTTTGCTTTTAATAGAACTGTCTACCATTACAACAGTGGTTTTGGTTTTTTTTTTTTTTTTCTTGGGGCTGGGAGTGGTAAGAAAGGCTTTATTTTCACCTGCTTTAATTGTGATTACTTGGAACTATGGTGTCACCCTTGTAATGCTGAAATTTGGCCACAGCAACACATGTCATGCCAGCCGCTATGGCACGATTTATTTATGGTCCACCAGCGTTATAGTTCTTGTGCTACTGAGAATATGTAAATGTCGAGCATTTCTTGAAAGAGGTGAGAAACCTTGAAATTATTTGCCACCAGTATAACCTAGTTAAAACAAAGAAAAACGGCATCTGAGAGTGGTCATTGTGTGTGACTTCAACATCCCAATGGAGAAGACAATATTGTTCAGAGTTAGGGTGCTGGGTGTGATTAGAAAGCTGTTCTTAAAAGGGTTTCCACATAGTGGCACATTCCAGCCTGAATGGGAACATATTATTCAAGGAATAGTATGTAATGTTGAACTACATGTGTAATGACCATGTTTTATTCAAACTAATAGATGGGAAAATTACTGATGAAATTCTTGGTGATGGGCAATTTGAATCTCTTCCTTGCTGTGTATATGAGGCTGTAGAAGAAGAGAGTTTATTTTTAAAGCTTGTTTAAGTTTTAAAGTATATTATTTTTATATACTGTTTAAAAATGCTTTAAAAGAAAAGTATATAATCTAAATCTAATTAAATAACTAAGCCTTAAGTGTTTCTTATATGTGTGTGTTATATTAAAAGGACTTTAAAATTGTCTTGACTTAAAAAAAATAACTGAACAGTACCAATTATCTGTCTCATTTTATTTTGGACTAAAACAGAATAAGTACTGCGCTTATATGTCTCTTTTTGCATTTGTTTCCAAAGGATTACTAGGCTCTTGTCATTATAGTAAGATTTAGCAGTATGTTGATGTACATTATTTATGAGAAATATTTCATATTAGAACAATAGGAATATTTATAAGCCTATTATAAGAAAACCAAATGTAGATCTTTTTAAGTCACTGATTTTGCAAAACAGCAACAATAATTAAAACAAGTAACAAAGCTAACTTTACTTCATACCCCATTCTTTCAGATATAAACCATTGTGCTTATTCATCTCTTTTATAATGTTACAGAATTAAAACTGGGTCCTGAATCATTCAAGTTTGATGGTGCAGTAGAGGCTGTGGCAGTCCGGCAGGCTGAAAAATATTACATCCTCCGTCCAGAAGTAATTGAAACCTATTGGTACCTATGGAGATTTACTCATGATCCAAGATACAGGCAATGGGGCTGGGAAGCAGCGCTGGTAAATAAGCGAATTATTTCATTTTATGTGCAGAAGCATTAATGAAGCTCTCATATAGTGCCATATATACTTGCTGTGTATATGAGGCTGTAGAAGAAGAGAGTTTATTTTTAAAGCTTGTTTAAGTTTTAAAGTATATTATTTTTATATACTGTTTAAAAATGCTTTAAAAGAAAAGTATATAATCTAAATCTAATTAAATAACTAAGCCTTAAGTGTTTCTTATATGTGTGTGTTATATTAAAAGGACTTTAAAATTGTCTTGACTTAAAAAAAATAACTGAACAGTACCAATTATCTGTCTCATTTTATTTTGGACTAAAACAGAATAAGTACTGCGCTTATATGTCTCTTTTTGCATTTGTTTCCAAAGGATTACTAGGCTCTTGTCATTATAGTAAGATTTAGCAGTATGTTGATGTACATTATTTATGAGAAATATTTCATATTAGAACAATAGGAATATTTATAAGCCTATTATAAGAAAACCAAATGTAGATCTTTTTAAGTCACTGATTTTGCAAAACAGCAACAATAATTAAAACAAGTAACAAAGCTAACTTTACTTCATACCCCATTCTTTCAGATATAAACCATTGTGCTTATTCATCTCTTTTATAATGTTACAGAATTAAAACTGGGTCCTGAATCATTCAAGTTTGATGGTGCAGTAGAGGCTGTGGCAGTCCGGCAGGCTGAAAAATATTACATCCTCCGTCCAGAAGTAATTGAAACCTATTGGTACCTATGGAGATTTACTCATGATCCAAGATACAGGCAATGGGGCTGGGAAGCAGCGCTGGTAAATAAGCGAATTATTTCATTTTATGTGCAGAAGCATTAATGAAGCTCTCATATAGTGCCATATATTCTCATCCATGTTACCTCGTGCTCAGTAACTATAAGGCTACTTCCATTTATCTGATGGATAAATTCTGTTATTCAATTAAGTTTCTTAAGCAATAGAAGTAAACTTTAGAATCCAGGTTAGTTATCTCTTAGAACTATGTTCCTACTAATATCCACTCATTTTAATTGAATAACTGTAAAGAATCATTTACAAGGCAGTTTTCCACTATGATTATACAATTATACTTGGTTATTTATGCTTAACCTCCAGGAAAAAAAAAAATGATTGTAAAACTGCCCAGATTGACTGCCTGGGTAAAGTACCCCTATTCACTTCATCTTGCAATCCGAGTAATTCCTTAGTGGATCAATGTAGGAAGGGGTCAGTGAATTGTTAAATTTTTCTGGATTGAAAGACTGTATTTTTATTGAAATGAGGAATATTTAATGGTAAGTAAAGGAAGCAAGGAATTTACTCTTAAAATACTAGCCTTTCAGAGAAACCATTTTTTTTTTTATAGTCCTCGGAGGAAGAAAATCATTACTCTGCTCATAAAAGTATAGCTTACTCCTAAGAGGAGTGTCTTATTCTCTGAGATATACTAATTTTGATAAATAGAACTAATTACGATGAATATTCACGTTCAAATTGTTTAACTCAAGTTTGCTGGCTAGATAGAATGACATCCTAGGTGAGATAAATAGTGTTAATAAATTGCTCAGAAAAGAATATGCAAGATACATTGTAGGGCAGAATGTAGGCCAATTTATGTTAAAAGGTTTGTTTCACTGTGGCAACCTGAGGGAGAGAAGTTTGGAGCCATTATGCAAATGACTTTATGTGCCAGATCAAAGGATGTATACTTTACTCAGCCTGTTCAGTTAGTTCCTAAGTGTTTCTCCTATGGGAGGTGGGGATGAAAGTCCTTTGAAAAAGCCTGTCAGATTTTTTTCCTTATCACCTCCTACCCACCAAAGCTCTTTAATTTTAAGAATCCATTTTAGGACCACTAAAGCTTTTTCAAAGGCAAAGGAACTACTGAAGGCTTTTTAGTGGGGAGTGAGAAAACTAAAGGATCTTACTGTAATCTGCCAATTTGTGGGTTTTGAAGACCACTGCAGTAGTCTAGGAGTAATGTGATAAAGACTTAAACTAAAGTAAGGACACTTATGTGTTATATGTCATTTGGACCTAGACAGTCTTTGTGGAGTTTAACAAAAAAAGATTTGACAACCTCAAACTTTAATTTAGATCTGTCCAGATTTGAATTACAGGAGTTAGAATTTTGCTTATGTAACCTATATGGACACACACACAAGCAAGAACTGAAATAATTTGCTTTTAAATCAAGTTTCCAAAGTAAGCCATGATGAGAAAAGTACTTTGGAGGGTGGAGACAAAAGAGGAAGATTTACATCTTAACTTGAATTTGCTTTCTTGTCCACCACTGGCTTCCCTTGTTGGGTGTGAAGAAAGTAAAGGGAAGACAGGGTGAGAGAATAGTGGTGTCTTATGTTTTTCTAGCTCTAGTTATTCCACTTAACATCTTCAAACTTTCAAACAAGTATATTATGTATGAAAACTCGTCTTCAGAAAATGACTCTAAATGGCTGGAAGATTAGTCATGCCTCTCTGCTACTTTTTCAGAATCCTTAAACTGCTCTGGTGATAAAGACACATGATCATTATGAAGAACTCAGCGTTTAAAAATCTTGGATTCAAAATATATTTAAAATATTTAGAGAAAAATACCAAACCCTTTGGTAATAAAACTTTAAAACCCAACTGTAATAAAAATGGAACTATATAAAAATGAACAGTTTGATTAAATAAATACCTTCAGTGTTAATTTGCTTTTCATTAGAAAGGAGGAAGACCATAAAAGTAAGAGGAGTAGAAGACTAGGAATAACAAGCCCAGGCAGTAATGATCGGTCAAATAACCATACCTTCATTGGACAGTACCTCAGGGTTGGGGGGAGTACAGAGAGAGAAAAGAACCACATGCATTTTCAACTTCTCATGAATGGCTTAATTCCGGAGTATGACACACCTGCATAAGCAGGATATTTGGCTGCTTTGAATTAAAGACAGGCTTTGAGTAGATTCCATTTAATTGAGTATATTTTATTTAGACATGTTCAAAGATGCAAAAAGAGTTACAAATTAAGAATTTCAGTTCCTCCTCAGGCATTGGAGCACAGTAGTTAGTAATAATGGGAAGTAAAGTACTCTTTGTCTTAGTTTTCCCATCTGAAAAGTAGAGCTAATAAGACAACTTTGCAGTGTTGTTGGAAATTTAAGTGTTAATGCATATAAAGCCCTTAGAAGAGTCTTCAGCCCAAAGTTCATAATTGTTCGCTGTACTGTAAGTGTCCTAGTGTGCACTTCCCACCAATTGGTACCACCTGTAATGTCCAACTCATCGGATTATGATAATACAGTGTCTGTCATATAGTATGCTTGTAGTAAGTAAATATTACTTCATTGCCATTACTACGGAGAGCTCCAAAATATTACTTCTTTTTAGCATGTTTTGAATTATTGTTTATCCTTAGAAGTGATAAAATTACATTTACATTTTTTAATTCAAGGTTATGTCCCTCATTTTGTTCCAATTAATGAAGCTCTTTTGTGCCAGACAGGTCTCTAATTCAGTGTTAATAACCTAAATTTGACTCCTAAGTTAAAAAAATAGAAGATGTCTTAAAAAAGTTAGAGTTTTTGAGAGGGAAAAATTCCACAGGAAACAGAATTCTTGAGTTAATTTTTCCAGAGTGTGAATATTTCCATTTGATAATAAGCTTTATTTTTAAACTGTTAGATTCTCATATAGATCTCTGTGAACTTTTGACTCTGGTTCCTTATCTCACCCTTCAAATTGATTATTTTGTCTGGTGTCTTTCACAGGCTATTGAAAAGTATTGCCGAGTTAGTGGTGGATTTTCTGGGGTGAAGGATGTATATTCCTCTACTCCTACACATGATGACGTACAGCAGAGCTTCTTTCTTGCTGAAACATTGAAGTAAGTAGATACATTTTTTTTTGCACACCTACCCCTAGTAAGTAGTAGATTACTTTGAAAAATTTTTATTGCAGGCTGATTTTGCTGTGTGATCACTACATGATGAATTATAATTATGTGATATGTTACACTAAGTTTTATTACAAGTATCTTTTATGTAATGGGTCTTAAATTTTTAGCTGTATCTTAAGAAGAAAAATTTAGACTCTGAGGTAGATATTTTGTCAAATAAGAGTTTAGTACCTTTATTTTGTCCTTAGCTCTTTGTGTGCATTAGAATCATCTAGAAGACTTCTTAAACTGCAGATAACTTGGCCATACCCACAAAGTTTCTGATTCAGTAGCTTTAGGGTGAAACCTAATCATTTACACATCTGATGGTGATGCTGCTGACTGTGGGACAGCACCTGAACTCACTGCTTCAGCTAATGAAATCTGTTAGGAATAATCACAGAGTTTTGATAGTACTGGAGGGTATATGATCATAGCCACCGATCTCAATGAAGTTTTCCCTAAAGATATACATAAAGGGAATGATGATGAGGAAAAACACATCTTTATTTTTTGGGCTTTTACTCAAAACCCCAGGTAGAGCTCTCTATAACTGACCTTTAGAAGAAGGTGGAGGCTTTAAATATGTACCCTTCCCTAAAGTCCTACTGAGTAAATATCTCTTGATACTTTCTCTTAATATTGTATTTCTGTTTCCTATCTATCCATACCTGAATGCCTCATAAACTGTCAATTCATTTGTTCAAAAATATGTTTATTTCCAGGCATTGTTCGGGTAACTTAGGGATATATCAGTGGATATAAATTCCCACCATCCTGAAGTTTACATTCTAGAATGCTTGTAGCTTATGTCTTGTTATACTACAATTGAAGTGTTCATGTCTCAAACTAGGTTTCTTATCCTAAATGGCCATCTTCCTCCAATTTTTCTTTTATTATCCCTTGTACTTTAATTTTCCTATCTTTTCAGCATGTACATTGTAGAGTTTTTTTTTTCCTCCTTCTGGTGTATCATTAAGTCTTTATGATTCTTGTCATGTTGTTACTTTATTTTGCTCCTTCATTTCCATATCTACAGTTGACCCTAACCCAGACCCTTATTACTGCTGAAATGGTTTAGAACATCTGCTTGGTAGTCAGTTCCCTATTTCTAGTCATTCCTTGTTTTGATTTATCCTGTATGCCTGGGTTTAAGACAGTATGAGATAGTTGAAAGGGCACGGGCTGGCAGATAAAACCATTGGAGCTTCAGTTATACACTTGCTACAGTCCAGGTAAATGAACATGTCAAAATTTCTTTGCCTTCATTTTTCATATCTGTAAACTGTGGAATTTGAAAAATTATGTAAAAGTTCTTCTGGGTTTTTTTTTAAGACCAGAAAAATTATAAGACTCATAAAATGAATATTTGTGTATCTTCCACCTAGATTTACCTGTTGTTAATTTTTGCCATATTAGTTCATCCCCATGTATATGTATGTACCAACATACACACAGAGTTCTAATTTAAAATTTTTTTCTATAATTTGAGAGTACTTACCAGCATTCTGATACTTATTTGTAAGAGTTTACAAGAAAAGGGCATAATCCTTCATAATCATGGTACAGTTATCACACTTTGGAAGCTTAACATTCATATAGTACTGTTTAAAGTGTAGTCCCTTTTCAGATTTCTCAGCTGTTCAAATAATGTGCTTTAACTATTTAACCCTAATCTAGAATCATTTGTCACATTTCGTTGCCATGTCTCTTTCGCCTAGAACAAAGTTTCCCTGTTTTCCTTTTCTCTTTTATGACATTGACATAAGTGTTCAAGTTAGTTTATTTGAATAATGTCCCTCAGTTTAGATATTCATGATTGTTTCCTGATGATCAGATTTAGGTTAAACATTTTTGGCATGAATATTATATATAGGTGATGTATTTTCATTGCATGCTAGAAAGAGGCATATGATAACAGTTGTCTGCCCTGAGAGTTTCAGCCCTGGGCAAGTTTACTCTGGATTTGGTGAGACCAAAAAGTGGCAAGGGAACTTTGGTAAAAGGACTTATATATCAACCTTTATTCTCATGGTGGCAGGTCAAGTGCTAGAATACTGTACCCCTCCCTCTCTGCCTCTGCCCCAGCCTCTGACTTCACTCCAGCCTCTGCCCTCCTCTACCCTTAGTATGGGCAGAGCTCTTTTTATACCAACTCAGGCAATAATGACTTATTACCCATGGTTATGCAAGCATGCTGTGCAGTAGGCTACGTATACATCATTGCCCATACACAGTGTGTGAGTAGATTAGGATCAGGCGAGGATCCTGGCCATGGAACTTCCATTTTTCCTACAACAGTTTAGCCCATTATTGCTGGTTTTAAATATAATCATAATATTAGATTTGATTATAAGATCATATAAAGAATCTTTTTCTTTTTGTGATTAATAAGTGATCTCTAGAGTAATAACTTTATGATAAATTTATGTGGGAATATCTTTTTCCAACAGCCTTTCACCCAGAGTTATTCAGTCATCTTGCCTGAATTAAATCTTGCTAGAGTAGTGGCAAAATGCTAACTTTGAAGCCTCTTCTAGTCTTGAAATTACTAAATTTTCAGCCTTTATATACCATTTTCTTCATGTCACTCTCCTCCTGCTCAAAGGCAACAATGATTCATTCATCTCTATCTTCACTTCTCATTTCTTCTACTTACAGGTTCTATCTGTAAGCCAAGCTAATCTATATTCAAATAGTCATGTATTTACACACACATACATATCCATAAAATTTGTTCCTTTGCATTTCATTGTCTATTTCATTCTTCACTGGCTCTGGAAGGAATGCCTTTACCCTTTCTATCAATTAATGCCCTTCTCATTTCTAAATTCAATTTAAATTTTACCTCTTAACAGATCAGCTTTCATAATTAATTTTCAAACTTCTTCATTAGTACAAACCTTGAGCACTTTAGCACATGGGATAGGGCTGCAGATATGTGATATGCTGCCATTCCCCTTCCATTATGTGTATGGACTATCACCAATTGACCTTGGTATTTTTTCCTGCCAAGTTCAAGAAGAATCCTACTCAACATAGTCTTGTAGGTAAGCAGTTAGATAAATACAATAGCTATAATACTCACTTTCAGAAAAAACACATACACATTTGTATTAATAAAAGAGGAAAGGTCAAACAAGAGTAATCATACAAGTAATTTTAACAAAACCTAGGTTTAGAAAACTGATGCATTTGAGCACTGTACTCAGCACTGAGCTTCCTGGCAGCGACAGCAAAAAGGAAGCATCTTGTTTTCATCTTTTGGAGTTGGGAGAACATGTTACTTTGACAGATGAGTCAGAATATTTTCTTATTGCTAAATTATAAGATGACTTAATTTGATAGCTCTTTATTAAAAAAGTACTCAACTATTAGGTGAACCATATGTAATTGTACTTTTTAAAAACAAAAAGCAGCTGAATACTGGCAATTTCATATGGTTCAACCCAACACATAATGATAAATATCTTCAGTGATATTACAGAAGATGTAAAAACACTCTTAGCATGACTTACTCTTTATAAAGACTTGTAGCATAATATTGCAATGCATTTGAATCCAGCCATTTCTGTTAAAGACTAATGTAGTTGCTAGTTTATATTTTTCTTAAGATAGAACTTATACCTCTATAGAGGAATGAAGATTAATATGAATCCATATATTTTTCTCAAATATCAATTAATTCAAGTAGACTTTTGTCAGAAGCTGAGTAACTGTTAAGATTGTTCTATCAAGTGGTTGAAATTTATTGTGAACCCTTAAAGGACAATAATCCATGTATTTTAGCTACCAGAGATAGCAATTGATTGACTTGGCAGTGGCATAGTTAAATGAAAAAGACTGTTCTTACCTAAATTGAGGACCATTTTACCTTTTACATATTGTTGTGGATGCCATATCCTGGAATACTGTAGCTATCGATAAAGGTATACATTTTTCTCCAGAAGACAAGGTGCTGTCTTCTCTTTCTCTTGTTCTCCTTCAATAGTCCCAAATGGATTTATTCATTTAGCATACATACTGATGGCACACAAAGACTATGTAATGAGGAAGGATAGGGATAGAGGCCTTCAAACCTTCTACCCTTAAAACTCTTATATTCTAATAGAGGAAATAAAACACATACAAATTTGCAAAAAATATTAATGTATTAAGTGCATAAGACAAATGTGAATGAAGTGGAAAAGTGTTTCAGAGACGAGGGGTTTGCTTAACCTAGGAAGTGTAGAGGAAGAATTCATGGAAGTGGTGGCATTTAAACCAAACTTGGAGGTAAGACGAGTATAATGGGATGAATTTGCATTCAGGAGAGGAGATGGATGATGGGATATTAAGAATGAGATAGGAGAGCTCTAAAGGTGGACTTGACAAGCTCTAGTATCTTATTAGATATAGGGAGATTCGATAAGAAGGAAGAATCAGAGATAATATTAACGCTCCTAGTGTGGGTAACTGTAAAGATATGGCACCAAGTTGTAAAAAGAAATAGATTTTCAGAAAAGATAATGAGTTAGTTTTGACTTAAGTTCCCAAGAGACATTTGCAGATACAGATTTGAAGCTCAAAAGATAAGTTCAGTCAGTTTTTGAGGATAAAGAGAAAAAAAGACATGTATCTGATCCTTTGAAGATGACTGTATATAACAAATGAAAGGGAGTTCCAGTTTAGCTTGACAGAATGAATACTTGCATTTATTCTCCTCTCTCTTAAGAACCTTTAAAATGACTGTATAAGGCTAAGAAAATAAAAAGGACAAGGACAAAAAGAATGAGAAAGGAATCAATAGCAGACAGATGTCAGCAGATTTTTAGATGATAAACAAAAAGTTAAGTACCTGCATCAGGAGAAGCTAATTTAAAAAGCAAGCCAATGAATACTTTCAGAACCTTGGAAAGACCCTAAGACTGGGGTGCAGGGTAGGATTGAAAACTGTAGAATTCTTTAAA